TAAGTTATTTCATGCTTACACCACTGTAAGAAAAAATTCTACAACAAAAATAAATAAAAGAATCATATAAAAAATAAGGGGAATATGTTTTGCAAAGTGCATGACATAATTTTATCTCATAACAGAAACTATTTTAATTTTAACATCATAGACGTACGTTTTTTCTTGAACGATTAATAAGTTATTCCATGCTTATATCTCTGTAAAAAATAATCTAAAAAAAAAATTCTATAAAAAAATAAGGGAAATATGTTTCTTATAGTAAATGACATAATTTTATCTCATGCAATAATACACAAAAATATGAATGTGACTTGTTAAGAAGAAGAGAGAGAATAAAAACAAATCTCATCCATTTCTTATATGTGTATAAAATGAAATTATCTCATTTTATCTGATAGAATACGAGAAACATATTTCGGAAACATTCAACAAAAAAAATACATAGACCATTTTTCAATGTCATGAAAATCACACTAGCCCGGTCCGACCAATTCACCCAAAAATCGAATCTTCGAGCGGTTCAGTCAAGTTAATTGATCGTATATGCACTTAAATAAGTATCGAATAAGTGACTTGCTTGCAAATTGGGTTTAATCCTATGAAACCGGACTAGTTAAACACGAGACCTGTTGGAGTAATTTAGTAACAGTTACCACTAGGCTTTTTGACCCTTATGTCCCTTAATTAATAATTAATTACCAAATTGTCCCTCATTCAAAACTATTTCGAAAATTTACCCTCCCCAACAAACATAACACCAATCTGCCCCTGTTTGACCGTTGACCACGAAGCCTACCCGGGTACACCATTACCTACCCGGGTAAATTTTGAAACTTTTTATCTACCCGAGTATGTAGGGATGTACCCGGGTAGAGTTCTTGAATATGGGAAAATGTTTGAATTATTTACCCGGGTACGGAGCAGTGTACCCGGGTAAATCGCGTCCAGAAACCCCAATATGTATGGGTTTCGGCCATTGTTGCATGATTACGTATTGTTTTTGTGTAGTACTTTGTTTTGTAATGACAATCACTTTACGTATTGTTTTGTTTCCTTGTACCATAAACTTTATCTTGTATTAGTTATGTATTGTGTTGTTGAAATGTATTGTTGAACTGTATTCTTGTGTTGTTGAAATGTATTGTTGAAATGTATCCGTTAAGTTTAGCGAGTCACTCGTTCCGTATTGTGCAATCCGAATGTCTACCATACCCATTTACCCCTTCCCCGAGTCAGTTAAGGTTATTGTATTACACATCAATTACCAAGATGCTAACAAAATGGATTGAACAGCACCTGCTGCTGCATCTGCAACTGGTCTACCCGGGTAACTCGTAATGATATACCCGAGTACATCTTACCCGGGTAGACTATTCGTGGTACCCGGGTAGACCAGTTGCAGATGCTGTTGCAGATGCTGTTTTGGCAATTTTTGTTGCATTTTGGTAATTGTTGTGCAATACCTACATACGGTATGACTTGGGGGTGGATTGATTTCGTAGAAATAGGATGCAGTAATCAAGATGTGCGCCAATCAAAGTTGAAAATGAATAATAAACTACTTTGGGTTGAATTGATTTCCAAATTAATTATGACAATATTAATGCAAGGTCTCATACTAATGCATAGAACCAACAAGTCTGAACGTGCGCAACGAAAATTTCATTCATTCAAATTTTGAACATCCAGTACAAAAACATCCATGCAATGTAGGTAAAGTTCCTAAATGTACCAAAATGACTACATTACATCAAACTAAATCAATGATATGAAACCCTATGGACACACTAATCCGATGGCGTGTCCTCCCCATTCTCTTCATCCGATTGTGTGTCATCCCCATTGTCATCATCCTCCTCCTCCTCCTCCTCCTGAGTATGGGCACCCTCGCCAATTAAACCCTCCAAGCGTGAAACCCTTGTGTCCAACCGTGCAACCCTTGTGTCCATCTGGTTTCGCCACTTGCTCGTGCTCTGTCTATATCTTCTAAAGTCAGTAGTCAGATCATATAAGGATGCCATGACATGATCAAGTGTCCATCCACCCTCAGGAGGAGCTGGTGGTCGCCGACTGCGGGTGGGACGTGTCGGTCTGACATCAACCTCAGCAACGCCATCATCATCGTCATCATCATCAAGGCCTACATCATAAACCATGAAAAACAAACTTCAATACCACATTAAAAATTAAACAACACATAATTGCATAAACTCATAAAGACCAACACATCACCTGCAGGTGCATCCTCCATCTCAGCATCGTGGTGGAATGGGATCTCAGGTGGTTCTGGTGCCTTCTTCCACGTCCAGATACCCGCTCTGTTCGGTAGGATCCCACACTGCTTCAGGAGCCTCTCACCAAATATAGCATTCCAGCCTCTGGCGGTCTTCAAGGTCTCTGTTGCCATAGGCACTCCAAATCTATGCAGAATCTTCTGCACCAGAAATGCAAAAGGCAATTCAGCCTTCTTTGACTTGGCTGCCTTCCACATCAGTATGCATATGTAATGCCTCCAGTTCACCTGCTGACTGTGAAGGAGGGCCCACAGGATGACAAAGTCCCCTTCCAGCACCTTTGAGTGATTATGCGGGCGCTGGAAAATAATATGTGTCACCACATAATGAAGAATGCGAGCAGAAACTGACAAGTTGCTAACAGGATAATGAGCAAAATGACCGGGCTCAGCGTCTGCCCTCCTAGTCTCTGTAACAATGGTCTCCCGGTTATAATCACCAAATATATGATGGCTGTCTCCATCATATAGTGCTGCTCCTGAGACACCATCAAAATCGAACCCCAGTAGCTCCGTCCAGATAGGAGCAGTCATGATGATATCAATCCCGCATACACGGGAAGTCAGCTCGCCTTGCGAGTAGCCAAGGTTCTGGTAGAAGGCTCTTACCATAACCTCCGAGTATGGGCACCGCATCTCCGCCAGGTGAAGTAAATGTGTCTGCTCAAGAAGCGGCACGATGTCAAAACGCTCTAGGTTGAAGAATGCCGAATCCAGTGATTTCGGTTCGCAGATCTTCCGGGTCATGAAAAACTTCACGAACTTCTCGTGTGAAGGAATGTCATCCTCAAACAAATATCCGAACGTCAAGTCCGGAGCCTGACTCGAAGCAGCCTGGGGCTGAGAGGATGACGACCCATCGTGACGACTCTTGGTTCTTCTCTCGGAATGGGTCACTGGCAGCTTTGAAACGCGTCGAGAGGTCATTGTGTCACACTATTAAACTGAAAAAATAACCAAAATCAGAAATTAGATACATGTTAGGGTTAGGGTTAGGGTTAGGGTTAGGGTTAGGGTTACATTCAGGGTTAGGGTAAGCGTATGACATACAAATTGATAAAATAATTCGGACAGAATCAAATGATATAAACGAAAACAATGAATCAGAACAGAAATCATAACATAATTGAAAAAACTGAAAAAAAAAATGCACCTTTGATCGATTTCAATCGGTAGAAGGCAGAGAGGTTGCAAGGTCCGCGAATGATGATCACAAACAAGACGAATTAGTGCAAGATTATGCCTGAAATCGCTCAAGATGACACTCCTCCAGCAGCTCTACTCGGGTACCCCTTTTGTGGGTTTTCGAATGGGGCTGCTGGGGTATTTTAAAACCCTACCGTCGCGATTTACCCGGGTACACTGCTCCGTACCCGGGTAAATAATTCAAACATTTTCCCAGATTCAAGAACTCTACCCGGGTACACCCCTACATACTCGGGTAGATAAAAAGTTTCAAAATTTACCCGGGTAGATAATGGTGTACCCGGGTAGGCTTCGTGGTCAACGGTCAAACAGGGGCAGATTGGTGTTATGTTTGTTGGGGAGGGTAAATTTTCGAAATAGTTTTGAATCAGGGGCAATTTGGTAATTAATTATTAATTAAGGGGCATAAGGGTCAAAAAGCCGTTACCACTACGACACTGGTTGATTTGTGTTATTATTATTATATAAATTCAAATCAAATCTTAAGCGACTCGATGACTGGTTAGATTTAGATAATATTTTTGGGTTTTATAAAAGTTATGTCGTAGGGAAAGTGATTGTGTAATGTTATAGAGATTCGTTTTGTATGTTTTAACTTTTTTAATTTTTTTTATTTTAAAAAGTGCGAATCCCACAAAATATTGTGTATAAAAAATTTAATGATATCATGTTAAAGCACAAACGACAATCCCAACATTTTTATGTTTTCAAAGGAGCGAGTTTTTAATTTTTCTCTAATTGAGAGAAAGGCTATATCTTCTTAAACAAGTAGTATAAAATTCTTATTAATGTATTTACTATTGGGTTAACTTTTTATGCAGCAGATAAGTTATCTGTAGTAAGTCCAATACGATATTATTTTGGGACAGAAATTATGGTATTTTTATAATTTTAATTTATTTCAGGATTATAATAATCTTTATATTTATAATTTTTTAAGATTTTAATATCAAAACGACATCGTTTTGAGAATAAATGGAGATAATTTATTTGCATTAATTGCAGAAACATTTTTCCTTTTACTATTTTGGTGTCTATCTGTTCTGAAGTTGTTGTCACTTTGTCAGTGGTTTTTTTTTTTTTTTTATAACAACTTTGTCAGTGGTTTACATAGATATGTACGACTCTACCTATATTGGTAAAAAAAAAGAAAAGCAAAAAATCAAATGAGTTAATCACATCACATTTGTTTATTTTCACAATTTTCCATCCATGCAAAAGTAGTCACCTCTCGTGCTACCTCCACGCGTGATCCTACTCATCTCATATTAACATTTGACAATACCAATTTAGCATAAAAAGCACACTTATCGTTTCATTAAAAGGAAAAAAATAAAATAAACAAAAACACTCTTACCCTTTAAGAAAACACAAAAAAATGAAAAATAAATAGGGCCATTTAACTTTGTATTTTTTTTTTTTTATTCTTTTAAAGATTAGATTCGTTCATTTCCGAGTCTCTAGCTCAGAAGCCATTGTCTTAAGCGTATGAATTTTGTTCAACCCCATATATCTTCTTTGTTTCTTTCATTTTTCCTTTCTATCTTCTCTCCTTCAGTAAAAATCACTGAACAGCTCCTATCAACAGTGACACTCTTTCACAATTAAATCAAAAAAACCAAATCCACTATCAGAACCCCATTTTTCATATTTCAATCCACCTTCACCCCCATAATCTTTCTTGACCTTTTTCTTGAATTCAAACATCAAAGTTCTAGTCTTTTTTCAACTTCTTTCACTCTCAGGGGCTCTGTTCTTGAACCCCATTGAAGGGTCACATCTGGGTACTCTTGCTTCCACGTGGGTTTTTGAGCAAAGTTTGAAGCTTTTTCCTCTTCTACTTTGCCCCCAATTGATGGGACTCTAAATGGGTTCTTTGGAATCTGGGATCCCATTGAAGAAAGGGAGCTTGTTTGGTCCTCAGTCCAATAGAAAAGAGAGGCACCCTTTTTCTCAGAGGTTCAGATCGAGCTTCTCGCGTTTGATTTTCAAGAAACTTGATTATGTTCAATGGATTTGCACGGTGGTGGTGTTTCTTTGCTTGGTCGTTGTGTTCCAAATGTTCCTTCCAGGTTCTGTTTTGGAAAACTCAGAGGATTCCTTGAGAGCTGTGAAGATGCATTCTAGGAACATGTCTCAATATAAAGACATAGACAAGTATGTCTTGGACACTGGGGAGGGTGCTATTTTTCTGCCTAGGATTTTGGAGAAATTCAGAAGAGATGATGGTAGGAATGTGAATCTGTTCAATCACACTGTGCAACATTTCGGGTACAGAAAGCCTCAGCTGGCACTGGTTCGTTCACCTAATTTGGAACTGTTTAAATGGAAATGAAGTTTGTTATTAATTAATCTTTTAATACTCTCTGAATTTTTCTCTGTCATTGTTGCATGAAATTTTATTTATTTTATTTCTTTCTTGGACATTTTACAGTTAACATAATTTCGGTTTCTTTTGAAGGTATTTGGAGAATTGTTTGTTGATTCACAACAATTGCTTATGGTAACAATTGCAGCTGCTTTGCTAGAGATTGGCTACGCAATTCAGGTGCTCTATTTACATTTTATTCTCAGTATTTAACCTGGAATTTTTATTTTTATTTTTGAGTTTAGGCATAAGAAAATAAAAAAGGATACCAGCTATTAGTTTAAGTCAAATGTTGAATATTTGAGTTATTTCTGGAGAAAATGGAAAGCACAAACAAAGAGAGATGTTGAATTTTAAGTCAAATGTTCCTCTCTTGTATGTATGCTCACTTTACTATTAGTTTCAAATGCCTCATTTGATAAGCGAAGATATAGTAGTCTACCAGATATTCATTCACCTTCCACAGAGAACCATGCACGACGCCTGTTTTAAATTTGAAGCAGGCTTGTGCATTTAAGAATGTATATTGAAGTCCTTAAGAATGTGGTGACTTATCAAAGTTACTCTAAAATATCCTTAAGAATATGTTCACCTCCTCACCAATTGCAAAAGTGGTTTTTAATTAATATTATTATGTTTATTTTTGTTCAAGTGTTCCCTATGCTTTGCAGGTCTTTTCACTGGAAGATGGACCAGGGCGTAATGTGTGGATAAATTTAAGAGTTCCCATCACGGTCATTCGAACCTGTGACCAGCCAGACAACACCGTAGACTGGCTAAAGTATGATTATTATTCTAATTTTTACTTCTAGACCAAGCAGTTTGCATTGTTTTAAGATTTGAAATGTCTAGAAATCAGAACCAACTAACTTTAGCTGCTAAAATGGCTGTCCGTTTGAATTCTTCAAGGTTTATAATATATCTGACATGAGCTCTAAGTCACTGTTGATTCTCCTTGTATCTGTTCTGGTTCGAGGATCTACTGAAGTTAACAACTCATTGGAAAATTACTGTCAATAGTGTCTTGTTTTTATACGGCTTGATTATAATTCTGATTTCTTGTTTAATTCTTTATATTTTGTTCAAAAGGTTATAGTTACAACCTTTTTTTTCTTACAACCTCTTACAACCATGTCTTATCACCGTTGATTTCCGCCAATCAATGGTTATGATTTTAGCAAATTAAACTCATTAATTAATTATTAATTCACAATAAATGATAACCGTTGATTGACGGAAATCAACGGTGATAAGATATGGTTGTAAAAAAAAAGGTTGTAAGTATAACCTTCCTCCTCTTTGTTCAATTATATTATATCCATGTTCAGTTTGTGAAAAATTATGTTACCTCATTCTCTTTTTCATCACTTCCAGTATTTTTATCCTTATAATGATTTTGTATTTTAGCTTGTTTGGATTAGCTTATTTTTGGGCCAAAAAGCTTTTGATCAAAAGGATCCTTAGAGAGTTTTTGAAGAACAGAAGAGATTATTTGCCCAAAATAATCTATTCCCGACCATGCTTAATCCTTTTAATTTTTGAATATTCAAAATAATATGGTGTAGTTGTGTTTGCTTTAGTATATCCGACTTCATGATATTCACTTGGACTTGTTTCTTAATATGTTACCGACTGAGAAAATCCTACTGTTTTGGTTCGATTAACAAATTCTGGTTGCATCTGATAAGAATGCATGTCTTTTGCAGCTATGATGGTATAATTGTGAGCTCTGTTGAAGCCAAGGGTGCCTTTTCTTGGTAAGATGCTTATTTTATTTTCTAAGGAGAAGATTCTGAATTTTTGTTGTTACCTGAATCCTTTACAGACTTTGCAGCCATGAATTGTGTTTTAGGTTTTTGCCGTGAATGTCCTTGTTCAAGTAACACGAATGATTTTAGTTGTTACAGTTTTTTGCAGGAACCTTTCAAGTCTATACCGCTTATATGGATCATTCATGAAAATGCTCTTGCTAATCGTTCAAGACAATATACTACAAGAGGGCAGATTGAACTTTTGAATGACTGGAGAAGAATTTTCAACCGTTCAACAGTTGTTGTCTTTCCAAACTATGCCTTGCCGGTAATATTTAGAAGACAAGTTATTTATTTAATTATTATTTGATACATGGGAATCATACGTAGGGCTCTACTCAAACCTTACTCACCCAGTCGTTCAATCTCATTATTATCTGATAAGCTAAGCTTTAGCCCAGACTGGGGGACAAGTTATTTTTGTAGTTACTGGTCAATGGCATTTTCTTGTAGCCATGCATTCCACGATTGATTCATAATCTGCTTTGAGTCAAACAGCTATCTCATTGTTAACTGCTTTTATATCATTTAAGAACAAATCTGACTCAGATTGTGTAATCAAGTTTCCTGTTGGATACTATTATCCTTTGAGTTTTAATTCTATGGTATAAACATTATAGTTATGATTATAACTACTAACTAGCATATGATAACTTATCTATTGTTTTCTTAAATCTCATTGTGCTGGGACGTAATTAGTTATGACAACTAATGCTGTAATTCCTCAGGTGATTTACTCCACGTTTGATGCGGGAAACTTTTACGTCATTCCTGGTTCCCCTGCTGCAGCAGTAGAAGCAGATGCATTTATGGGCTTACAGAAAGATAATTTGCGTATCAATATGGGCTATGGCCCGGAAGATGTGATTATCGCAATTGTGGGCAGTAAATTTTTGTACAAGAGCATGTGGTTGGGGCATGCCATTGTTTTGCGGGCTTTATCATCACTTCTGGCGGACTTCCCTTTAAGCAAAGATAATTCCAGTGCACAACTACGAATCATTGTTCATAGTGGGGAATTAACAAATAACTACAGTGTGGCTCTTGAGGTATGTATCCTACATTCTTCATGTTTATGGATATATAATTTGAAGTTTCTTATCTTGTATTCTGTTTCATTAGACCGTGGCACGTAGCTTGAAATATCCAAGAGGTATTATAGAGCATATAGCTGGAGATTTGAATGCAGATTCTGTTCTTGGCACAGCAGATGTTGTGATATATGGATCCTTCCTTGAAGAGCAGTCTTTTCCAGAGATTTTGATGAAAGCCATGTGCTTTGAGAAACCGATTATTGCTCCTGATGTTCCCATGATCAGAAAATATGTATGTTCATGCTCTATTTCTTTACTTTATCATACCATGGGTCTATTTTGCTTGGTACAATGGTATTTTTATCAATCCTCCTGGAAAAATCCAGAGTTTTGCTTTTTATGGCATTTAAACTAATTTCCAAGCATCTAAAATGTTATCGATTTTTATTTTTTTATTAATTTACAAAATTTGAGTTAAAGTTTCTCATATCATGTATTTCTAAGGAAACCTCTAACTGGTTTCTGGACATTAACTAGGTAGACGACCGGGTGAATGGGTATCTCTTCCCTAAGGATAATATTAGAGTTCTGAGACAAATTGTGTTAGAAGTGATCTCAAAAGGGAAAATATCACCCCTGGCTCGTAACATTGCTTCAATAGGGAGAAGCACTGCAAAGAACCTTATGGTTTCCGAAGCAATTGATGGATATGCATATTTACTTCAGAATATTCTCAGGCTTCCATCGGAGGTTGCTCCTCCTAAAGCTGTTTCAGAAATCCCCCCCAATGTTAAAGAACAATGGCAGTGGCATTTGTTTGAAGCAGTTCCAAATGTGACATATCAAAATAGGGTATTAAGAAGTAACACATTTTTAGATAAATATGAGGACCAGTGGAATCATTCTCAAAAAAATGGTTCGGCTACTACGGTTGCAGCTGATGATATATTTGTGTATAGCATATGGGAAGAAGAAAAATATATTCAGATGACTATTACAAGAAAAAGGAGAGAGGATGAAGAGGTAAGATCAGTGAATGTTCAAATTTATAAAAGAGTAATGCTATATGATATTATATCCTCCTAAAACATCCTCAAAGTAATCCTCCTAATACTTTATAAAGAGTTTTAAATGAAAAAGTAAATGCATTTGATATCTTGGAAACATAAAAAACATTAAATACTTCATTTAATAACTAGGAGGATTATTATGAAGAATGTTGAGGAGGATTTATGATTATTCTTTATAGAATTAGGGTATTGGATCTTTCCTGACTTCTATTTGCAAGGCTAGTAGGTCAAGCTTAAGTCATGTTGAATTTTAATGCAGTTGAAGGATAGAACGGAGCAGTCACACGGAACATGGGAGGAAGTATATCGAAATGGTAAGAAGGCTGATAGGTTAAAGAATGATTTGCATGAAAGGGATGAAGGAGAGCTTGAGAGGACGGGACAGCCCCTATGCATTTATGAACCTTATTTTGGGGAAGGATCCTGGCCTTTTCTACATCAAAGATCTCTTTACCGTGGAGTTGGCCTGGTAAGTTGTGTGTGCATGTGTTCAATTGTATTTTCATATGAATCCATATATACAGTGCAAATAATAATAAATTTCCTTTTATAATGGCATAATATTTGTTACAGTGCTTGATTCTAATATAACCCCAAGTAATACAGTGTTCATGTTAATGCATTGCATTCTCTTCAGAAGGTATATGATTGTTTTTCATCCTCTCTCTCTCTCGTTTGGTAATTATATCATTATTTTGCCATGTTAATGCAATGCCTCAAATCTCCTGTAATAGTTGCACTTTCTTTTCAGAACATAAAATGAGTTGCTTTTGATTTTAATCTGACGCAATGAATGTACTGGATATTTGCAGTCCACTAAAGGACGAAGACCAGGGCGAGATGATTTGGATGCACCTTCTCGTCTTCCACTGCTTAATAATGCTTACTATCGAGATGTACTTGGTGAATATGGAGCCTTCTTTGCAATTGCAAACAGGATTGACCGTTTACACAAAAATGCTTGGATTGGGTTTCAGTCTTGGAGAGCAACAGCAAGGAAGGTATATGATTGTTTTTTATACCTCATTTCTTTTTTGATGCTCTTTTTTCATTTCGAAAATAGATATTGGTTTTGATAAATACATATTATTTCTGTCTTTTTCAATCGTTTTAGGTTAGAAGGTTGTGATGCTGATTTTATATTGCCTTTTTCCCTGCAACTTTTTTGTATAGAGGCTGATCCTATATTTGATATGATATGATGTTTAAAGTTGAATATTCTTTGTCTAATTAGAGGTTTTGAAATTGTGGCTATAAAAAAGTAAAATAATCTTGTGTGCACTGAACTGAATCTTCAATTATGCAGCTTCTATTCTCCCTTTTTTTGATTAGTGGAATTGGTTGTGTGTATAAGGCTGAAATGCAGGAAGATAACTCAAATGGAAACAATAAATTAAATTTCTTGTCTGCCTCTTGTTCTGGGTTTTTTGACATCAAGCATGGGATTTTAACAGGCATCTTTGTCCAGAACTGCTGAAAATGCATTATTAGATGTTATCCAAGCCAGAAGGTATGGGGATGCACTATATTTCTGGGTGCGCATGGATATGGATCCACGAAACCCTTTGCAGAAGGATTTTTGGTCATTTTGTGATGCCATTAATGCAGGAAATTGCAAGTAAGACCTGTTAAACCTATTCCGTGTTTTTTCTTTAGTATATGGAAGTTTGAGTGTTGACCCTTGTTTGCCCTCATCATCTATTACATTTTTAAAAGTATAGATTGATTTTCTCTACATTTGTGAAGGTTTGCATTCTCAGAGGCCATGAGGAGAATGTATGGGTTAAAAGATGATATGGATTCTTTGCCACCCATGCCCCTAGATGGTGACACTTGGTCTGTCATGCAGAGTTGGGCTCTGCCTACGCGATCCTTTTTAGAGTTTGTAATGTTCTCCAGGTACGCTAAGTTTCATTAGTGGATGTCTCTGATTGGAAATAAGCTCATTTTATCGACTAAGAAAAATGTTATCTTGTAACTTGTTTGAGTTAAATAACTGATATAACCTACCATTTATGCAGAATGTTTGTAGATGCATTGGATGCGCAGATGTATGAAGTGCATCATTCAACTGGACACTGCTCTTTGAGTTTGTCAAAAGTAACTTGCTTTCCTCAAAGGACTAGTTTTGCTGGTTTAGTTTTAGGCATTTTCTCCTCGTGGTTTAACTTCTTTCAGATAGAAGTCTGTTTTTTAAAACAAATATTTATGTTTTTGTATTTTATACAGAAGCATGCACAGGGTAAAGATTTGAAGGAATCTACTTAAAAATATTTGTTCCAACACTCGTCACTGTAGTTTGAAATATGTTGTTAACACATTTGGATTTTGAAAAACAATTCTAATTGGCGTTTCAGATGTAGTGTTGGGTTACAAATTACAATGTACTTTAGTTTACATTGTAAGCTAACCCCGTTGGCTGGCTCAAATGGCAATATGAGCCCCAGGACGGACGAACTGCCAAAAGAGTAGGGGTTTGAATTCTGGAGAGGACCTTTGAGGAGAGCTGGATAATTGCCACACTGCCCAACTTGGAATTAGTCCTATACAAATGCGGACCCTTTTCTCGCATGAGTTGTGGGGATACCTAGGGATATGGCTCGCCCCAAAGGGATAATTAGGATCATGGAATCTAAAAAAAAAGGACATTATAACCTTGCTGCTTATTTTTGCACCTCGTCTCATTGCATGAATAAATGTGCTAATTGCAGGATAAACATTGCTATTCAAGGGTTCTTGAGCTTCTTGTGAATGTCTGGGCATACCACAGTGCAAGGAGGATGGTGTTTGTGAACCCTGAGACTGGTGTAATGCAGGAACAACACAAGTTCAAGAACCGTAGAGGTAAAATGTGGATCAAATGGTTCTCATACAGCACACTTAAGAGCATGGATGAGGACTTAGCAGAGTTATCAGATTCTGAGGATCCTGGGAGGCATTGGTTGTGGCCATCAACAGGTGAAGTATTCTGGCAAGGTGTATATGAGAGAGAGAGGAATTTGAGGCACAAGGAGAAGGAAAAGAGGAAGCAAAAGAGTTTAGAAAAACTAAATCGAATGAGGAAGCGTCATCGCCAACAAGTGATAGGAAAATACGTGAAGCCCCCACCAGATGAGGTTGAAAGCTTCAATTCATCTTTGCTTGCAGTAAATGAATCATGATTCTACTTCTGTGATGAAGAATTCAAGGCATCTTTCAAGTATATCCTGATATAAAATTCTTTTCTTCTTTTGTAATTTTCATTTCATTTTTCTTCAACACAATTGTGATTTTCATGCAGAAAGGATGCACATTTCAGTTGAGGGTCGTGTGTGTAAAACCTGCATCATTCTAGGCATTGATGTTTGATAAAAATCTAATGTGTAAAGTTTCTTTCTTTCTCTTTTTTCTTCTGTAATTCCATTCTTTCAGGATAATAGATTCTTTTAGAGAAAGGCTTGGTAAGTTGTAATCTTGATATAGCATTTGTGAATCTGAATGAGATTAGCTTGTAGCAATGTATTCCATTTTTAACCATTCTCACAACATGTCAGGTGTAAAGCTTTACTATGTTAATTCCATAATTCATGGTATTCAATAAGTTACGCTTCCATCAATTCCTTCCATGATTAATTTTAGGAAAAAACAAGTATCATGTTGTAGGACAATTCTCTTGTTATGTTATAGAGACAATAAATGTGGGATCTACCATGTTTAAAATAAAAAGAAAAAAAAAATGTAACACAAATATCGATGTATGCGTAAGAAATTTTGCATTTGTTATGCAACATGACAAATGCAAAATTTGTTCAAAGGTTTTGCAGCCAAGGTTGATGTACTAGTGGAATTGAGTAAAATAATAATAATTGTATAAAATAATCATTAAGTCATGACTGAAATTGTAACTTCCTAATACACCTGCACAACCTTTATTAAATGCAAAAGTTTCCGATCCTCGTGCAAATGATATTTGGGTCACAGAAGTTTGATACGCTAACTAGCTACTTTATATCATTATATATAGGAGTCAAATATAAAAGATATTTATTCATCGGTATTCATGATATATTATTCTAGTTAGTCTTTAATCTATTGATGGGTTATGACACTTACTGATGCAGACATCATCTCCACCCAAACCAAAAACACAACCGACAAAACGGAATGAAGCCTTTGTCACTAACTCTTGGGGCTTAATAGCTGAACTATACCCTTGATCATAAATTGATGTATTTGATTGTATTTTGATTTTTTTATCCTTATGAAAACATGTATTTTTTGTGTTTTTTTTTTTTTTTTTTTAAAAGTTAAAAGTCAAAACATAAAATAAAAATAACTCAGACATCTTCTTTAAATTTGATTTTAAAAACAAAAAAATAATTACAAATTATTTTTAAAAACAGTATTCAAACACTAGCTTAGACCAAAGCATAAAAACCCTTATACCTAGGAGAACTCTTAAAATGGATGGTAACACTTGAGAATTAAGCACCTTAAGGGGCATATAGCCACTCCCACATGCCCCTGGTGATGCTGGCAACCCCAAGAAAACTTAACCAGCCCAGTTCCTGTCCACATATTCCATTAGCTCTTGAGATAGTCCAGCCACAATTATATATATTCAATGATTATGTATTTAAGTTTAATAACATTGATATTAACTGTATTTTTAAAAGTATGACAAATACTAGCAAGGAGTAGAATTAAGGTTTTCAATTACATAATATAAGTAAACAAATATACTCTTCTGCTTCATAATGACATCCCCTTGCACAGATTTATTTGAAATGCTTCGAGCCATCTTATTTTAAAGGATGAACAGATATTCTGGAAAACAATAAGAATAAGCTTAGCATTTGTTTGGAGGAGTACAACACGTATAAATCGGAGAAACAACTTCGCATTTACATTACAACAGTAAAATTATACATTATTAGTACAAAAGGACTCATACCACACTTTACTATTACAACATATACCCTCAATTACATTGCAACACCAATGGCTCTCACTTGTAATGGCCTAATTGGAGGATTTCATGCAAGACATCTTGGAAGTTGCTGGTCTATAGCGCTTTGTCCTCACTCTCCTATTCTTGCTCCTGCCTAATTTCTTCTCCAATTCCTTCACTCTTCCAGTTAACTCTGATATTACACTTAACTGTTCATTCCCAGCTTCCAACAACTTCTCCATCATCTTCCTTAACTTCACATTCTCTTCCAATAATTTTGTATCCACATTTAACCCTCCATCATGCTCAGCATCAGGTAGCTGAAGCTCTTTTAATGCAGGTGGTGCTGCAAATACTTCAGTTTTCTCCCGAGTCAAAGTTTGTGAATCTTTATTATCAGCACTGATTGCCCGTTCAGTAACCATGTCTTCACCATCAACTTGTGTCTCCCACTGTGCAAACTTTTCTTCTGGTTCCTGTTCCTTCTGTGAGTCATTAATAGGCACAAACTCCATTGGTTCTGGCAGGATGTTATTTACATCATTTGCTTCCAAGCTTACATCTCCATTCCCTAGTTCATGACCATTGACTTGTGTTGTCAAAGATGGCAACTTAGTATCATTTCTCATTTCCTCTTCTGACTTACACCCAACCTCTATATCCAATGGTGCATCCCCTTTAAGTTCATCTTCTTTCTGGAACTGAATCTTAACCCAGCCATCTGATTCCCCACTAGACTGCACCTCTTCCTTCTCATCTAGCAGTGGCTGTTCTCGTTGAGTTTCTTTTGCAGTGTCATCTGTGGAAGAGCTTGTTTTTTCATCTGCATTACATTCCCCTTCTTCAGTTGGTTTATAAGTTTTAGTTTCATCATGCTTCTCTAATTCAGATTCTGCTGTATCCTCATCAAGCAATCCCACTGGCAGTTCTGCAGAACATTCCACATCTTCAGCTTGTACTTCCCCTTTAGAAGTATTAGTTTCAAATTCTGATGTTGCCATATCCTGACCAAGCAATCCCCCTGGAAGCTCCTTCATTGGATGGATCTTTGAATCTAACTCATCATGTGCAGCATCATCCACCATGGCTGGGAGGCTTCTATCCATCATCATGGTAGTACTTCCAGTTATTTGGGCCTCCACCCTCCCTTTTTCATTTTGTTCATCCTTCCCAGAACTAATATCAATGATATCTTCATCTATAGCTTCCACTGGCAATTCTTTCCAAGCAGTCATATCCAAATTTTCAACTTCAATAGGAATGTCGTTCACCTCAGCAATTTTGTCAGTCTCGGAAAGATCACTTGTAGCATTCAATGCATCAACTGTAACCACTTGGCTGATATCTTCATTAACTAAGCCATTTGGTGGGACAATAGGATCTGTTCCCTCATTTGATGCGGGATCAACTGGTGGCTGAGATTCACTTCCACCATCATTAGCATGAACACTGTTAACACCATCCTGACATTTTTCCAACGTATCATGACCTCCATCACTGATGCCTTCAGATGAATCCTCTCCTGGTACTGCTACTTTTCCTTCTTGTTGCTCTTGCTGCTGAGGTTTCTTAGCCATTACAGAATCAAGCCTTTCTTGCAAGGATGTAAGCTCTCTTGCCAGGGATTTTCTGGTCTCCCTCAAACTTAAATGCAAACCCTGTATATATTGTGAATAATGTGTAAGCATAATGTTGAAAGAAAGCAGGAACTGTATTAAACATCATAAATAAGATGAACAACAATCAATAGCTCAGACAAACCACAACCACCACTCATATCTATGCAACTCAAAATGTTCATCTTTGTTCAAGTGCAGTTGCCAACTGTGCCTATGATAGGTAATTAGGCATGTAATGTTTATTATCCATAGCCATGAACGAAGGAAAAAGTCTAGCTAATAAGTACCATGTGAGAATGTTTAAGTGCAGAGTACAAAAAGTGCAAATGGTACGTATTTCATGTGATATTTGTTGTAAAAAATGCAAGCATATCAAAACTGCATTGTAGATTTTATCTTATGGAAAGTAAAATAGAGTGAGCTAACACGTACCTGTATAGTATCCAACTTAAGCAGGAGTCTCATTATGGTCTCCCCAATTGCAATTCTTTGCTTGTCATTATTTTGAAGATCAGAAGAGCCCTCAAAAGCTTGAATACGATCTCTAACATCATTCACCTCCTTACTAACTTCAGCTATCTGCTTCAATTTCTTCAATGGTTCCCATTTTCTCACTTGATAACCTCTAAAAGCAGCTTGTATCAAAACAGCAGCATCTGCATCCAACAGAACCCTTCCCTCTTTTGGACCTTCATCATTTGGTTTGCTTATATCCCTTACTTCCCTTGCTTCAGTAGCTTCTTCTGTCATATTTTCTGTCCCTTTCTCTGCCTTTTTATCTTCAGTCTTACATTGGTCACCATTTGTATGGCTTTCCCTTGTCCCTATTGAAGCTCCACTGGGCATGTTTAAATTTATCTGGCTTTGACATTCATCCTTGCAGTCAGCACCCTTGTTTTCACTACTCTTATTTTCAGACACCTGAATGGTTCTCTCCTTTGGTTTGACTTTCTCACCAGCATTTAAAGCACTCTGAAGATTCAAATCTGGCTGAGCCTTATCATTCATGCCACTTGAAGGAGTCCTTGATGTTTCACCATCCGTTGCTTGGGAATGTTTTTTTGAGGCAGGTGGACTTGGAGACCTTGAACTCCCATTGCCATTTTTCTTCCTTGGTAATGGACTAACTCTCAAACAAACAGGAGGTAACTTAGATGTTTTCCTTGGAGATGTGGACATGGAATGGCTTTGGCCACTGGTGTAGGAGTCATTCTTTGTAACATTATCTTCCATTTGATTTACAGGAATGCTCCTTTCCCTCTTGTCATTTCCCTCTGAATCATTTTTTCCTTGATCATGCAATTCCATCTGCTTCACAGGTATGCTTCTTTTATTAGTCACTTTCTCTATAACATCCGAACCACTTGTATTTGTGGATTCAACTTGATTTGATCTGGTTCCATTTGTAACAACTTCATCAGCACAAGAATTCACAGGAACAGATTTGAATGTATGAGGTGCCTCCTCAATGCATTTTGGTGCAGAAGTTCTCTCCTGATTATTTGTCCTTCCACCTTCCTCCTGCTTATTGTGGTAAGGCATCCAGATGATAGGGAATGGGAATTCTAATCTCTTGTCTTCACTCTGGTGCTTCTGGTTCATTCTTCCATCTTCAGATTCCCTTCTATTGCTGTCAGTCTCCCAGTTGCTGTTTCTTCTTCCATCTCCATCATGAACCATGTTAGGGACACCCTTCATATCAAGAGGTGTACTTGTGTACTCTGGTGGTATCCAAATAAAGGGATATGGATGATAGTTCTTCAACTGAACTGGGGCCAATGCATCATCCATTTTCTTTCCACCATTAGGTTCTTGCTCTTCAATCTTTACACTTTTACCTTCCTTCTGGTGGCATGGATGATTAAGACACCCACAACAATGATAGTCTCTGGGCATACACTTATCATATTCATATTTAGGCAGCTCCATAGTATAATGTGGTTGTGGGGAATAAGGAACAAAGAATGGTTCTCCGTATGAAGGATAACCACCAGAATAGTACATCGGTGATGGTGATGGAGCAGGAGCATGTGGATAAGAAGGCCTGTAGCTATAATAACCAGGAAAATTGTTGTGGCCACAGCAGAAATTCACTGGAATAGGGTGCCCATAACTGTGAGGAAAGGGACAAAACTGTTCATATGAAAAGGGTGATTTGGATGAATCCACTTTTATTTGAGGGGGAATAGCCTCAATGCCAGGATGATAACAATGAGGGAATGGTGTTTGGTTTCTCTGATATGGGTATGAATCCATGTTTCTATATGCAGGCATCATGTTCGGTAAGGTTGTTGCCCTTGGTATAACTCAGAAAGATACTAGGGCGCTAACTCTGCATTTCACAACAGGACTAATGTCAAATTTCAATATTAGGAATAAGGGATAAAGAATAGGAGAATGATTTTCAACAAAGGACCATACATGTTAATTGTGTTCATCATTAAAAAACAAAAAAAAGGACCAAGAAGAAGCACGAATGAAAGAACACCATTTGCTTATATTCTTCTACGCTTACAAAATAGAATCTAGAAAGTATACATCATACAACACAAGAATAATTTCTTCAGAACAGAAGCTGCATATAAGAGCCATTCATCTTCAGCATAAAAGCTATAATTCAGCTTCTCAGTGCTACAACTATAAGGCATACACCACAAGCACAGATATTTTATGAATACAATAAGACGGTAAAAATTAAATTCGTTAACCATTTCAACACAAAAAACTTAAGCAGCTATATATGAAACTCATATTAATAGTTTTATATTATCAAACACATGCGTATTAGGATCACAACTTTGATTTTTGATTCTCAACAATATCTTAATTTCTTTCAAAAGTGCAACACCATATTAAAAGTGTATTTCTTGATCACAAATGTATCTACACTCATGTCCATCAAATGACTTGCTCTTTTATCATTCAAGTCTAGTAATGGATTAATGTAAATATTTTTCATACAGCACCATCACGCAACTAAAAAATAGGCCTCCTGAAAAAATGTCATTAACTCAAAACTATCAACAAAGCTCCTATACCCACATAAAAAAACAACACAAATTTCACGTGAAAAACATGACAAACATATCAACCAAGTACAGCAAAAGAGAAGGGAAAAAATGACTTACATTAAATTTTCCAAGGAAACTAAACGAGAAAAGAAAAGAAAATTCCAGCCAAACAGTTCCGCTCAATCCAAGTGAAAGAGTTAACAGTGCAAAATCGAGCCACCAACCCAAAAACAGAGAAATGAAGTGGTGTTGTTTGTATACGATCAAAGCTCTGTGTCGTGATAAAATGGTCTGAGAATGGAAATGTAAGATAGAACGTGACCCTTTTATAGGGACAGCTATGTTTAATAATAGAAATGGTTGGAGACAAAAATCATGGTTTTCGAGATGTTTCGCGTGTCGTCGAGTGTTCAACAATGAAATCCTCTCTAGATTTTTCGTTACAGTTAAGGTATGGCCCACATGTTCTAGCCACGTGTCAAATCAACTATACGCAGCCACGTTATTTGAGAACCTTCGAGTCATTTTTGGTCAATCCCGTTATTTTTAAATAAAATATATTTTACAATAAAAACATATATAAATTGACACACAAAGCCACAAATATGAAATGAAGAAGCTTTTAAAAAAAAAAATTCTCTCAAGAATTTGTTAAATTTTTTTTTTTTTTTTTTTAACTTTAAAACTAAATAATTTAAAAGCGGTCATTAAAAGCTTTTTGAGACGATTTTAAAAAAGATTTCTCAAAATTTTGTTTTTTCCAAACATGCCAGAAAAAAAATGCTTGATTTAATAAAAGTGATTGTTTCTAACATTATTATGGGTCAACTTCGAGGCAAAATGGGCTGTGCCCATTGTTGGTCCCTTAAATTTTTTAAAGGTCTTCTTCATTCTGGGTCAATTTTGAAACAACTTCTTTTTTGTGGTCACTGCTTTAAAGCAAGCTCTTCGATGCATAACAGAAATTGTAGCTAGGCCCAAATTAAGGCCCACAAAAATCTTTCTTAGTCCACCATAAACTTAAAACAAGGCAAGAATTCAAGGTTCTTCTAATGTAAAACCTACCCCAAAAAAGAATAATAATAATAATAATAATAATAATAATAATAATAATAACACTAGACATGTAAACAGAATAATTTGGTATGGTTGTTGACAATTGATTGATTGTAGCACTTTATTCCATCTTATAACTACGTTTATATATAGTTAAATTCTGCCAAAATTTTAGCAAATTTTTGTTGACTGTATAACATTATTCCAGAACCTCGAGCAAAATAATAAAAGCAATTCCCTTTTAATTTTTTAACATGGCAAGTGTCACATGACCAAGTTATTCTCAATAAGGGCTCGAATTCCACAGGATATACAAAAAATACCCATTTGGGTTTGGGTTTTGTAATGCAATTGCAAAGAACAAAACTAAAAACTTTTTTAGGCACAAGAAATTACGTGCAGATTTATGGGGAGGGGTAACTGTTGGTACATGAAAAAGGCGAGGGTGGACAAAGACAAAATCCGAAAATCAGGAAACGATTGTGCATGACAATTTTTTTTCAGAATGAGATTTTTTTTTAATTTTTGTTTGCGGGAATAAAATGACTCCAAACATGGTTTGTGAGTGCAATGAAATTAAATTTGTATCTACTCCTTTGTTAAAATTAAAAATATTAATATTATTATAAAAACATATGATTTAATCATAAAGAAATGAGTATAATAAATAATATCTTTTATATTATAGAAGATAAAATTATATCCTACACATATAAAAGTGTGTGCAATCTATATTTTTTCTTTCTCATTTTTCTTCTCACATGACTCAACATTGGCCCCACGAGTTTTTACGTGTGTAGAAGATAAAATTATCTTTTATAATATGAGATATTAAACTCTAAATATAATTATGATTACTTTTTTCTCTAATTTTAGTTGGTAATATTACGAGACTTCAATACCACTAAATGGTAAAATAATAATAGTAATAATTTGTATAATGAACAAGAGAGTTACATGCTGGCATTGCACTAGTGGTGTGTTATAGGGATGTTCACCGACCAATTTAAATCGTGGCGACCAAACTAACAAATTAATAATTGAATTAACTGAAAATTGAAAAGATCAAAAACAAAAAAAAAAATTGTATATTTTAATTAGATTGAATCAGTTTTTCGTTTGGTTGGTGAAAATCGATCTAATACAAATCAATCTAATATATTATGTATTTATCATTTTCAAAAAATTGTGACTTGGAATCTTATTGTTTTATAAACTTGTAATATTTGATGTCATTGACAGCAAATTATTTTGTTTTAATTTTTTATTATTTATTAATCTATTTTAACTCTTCATCAGTTTGAATACTTATTTTAGTTTGAAGACTTACATTTTCTAACTGTTTATAACTTTGAATAATTTTATTTTGATATGATTAGTAATTTATATGATCAAAATTTTTAATTTTTTGAAAAAAATTAAAATTAATTCAATCCAAATCAAATAAAATTAGATTAAATTTGACTCATTTTAAACCAAATAAATAATTAAATAATTAAACTAAAAAAAATTAATGATCATGAAGACTTGTATTGTGTGGGACTAGTAACTAGTAAGAGCCTGCCAATGTAAATATGAGCGCAGAGCACGATGTGACTGATTGATTGAAATTAATTGAAAATCTAAAACTAAAGTTTTTGGCCAATGAGTAACAAACACGAAGACATAGGTTATGTAGCTTTTCATGGACCGAGGCAATGTGATTTCATATCTGACGCAACGGCGCTGGGACTCTGCTTTACCTGCTCTGCCACTGTGCAAACAACCCTACCCCTTCGCCTTACGCTAATAGCTTCTCATAGTTCTCAACTTTCAACTGGTCATGAAAGATGATCGAGCCCCACCAATTCAAATATAAATTAGAGAGAAAAAGTTTTATTTATAAATTATATTAAATATGATCATTATGATCGATCATATTTAATATAATTTATAAAAAAAATTCAAACGAATCCTTCCCCCAATTTTATATACATAAATACTAATGTTTTAGTTAGGCTTAATTTGATATGCAGGTATAGCAATGTATGTAATACAACATATATATTAAAAAGATGCAATATAACATCATACATTTATTCTCCATTATTTCTGGTTGTAATATAGCTTAGTTGGCGATGATGTACATATACTGGTTATATTATATTTGCGTGCTTTAATATATATATATATATATATATATATATATATATATATATATATATAGGTAGGATCCTTTAATATCGGTGTCAAATTTGAAGTTTGACACCTCATCTGAGAGCCGTTAGATCAAAAAAGATCAACGATTTTAATTTGTAAGCATATGGCACCATTGATCTTTTTTGATCTAACGGCTTTTAGATAAGGTGTCAAACTTCAAATTTGACACCGGTGTCAAATGATCCTACCTCATATATATATATATATATATATATATATATATATATATATATATATATATATACTCAATTCATTAATAATGTGTCGCTTTCATGATCCGTCTTTCCAACCAAAACTGAATATTTGCTGATATGCTTTATATGCATTTATATATATCTTTTTTACTTTTTTAATAGGGTTAATTTCCAATCACATGAAATGGAACTCAAAACACCTATCGTACAAAGAGATTTTGTCCCAACAAAAATGCATCCAAGAGATGATAATTTATATATATATGAACGATCTTTGTTGTTGTGCAATCACATCTGCACCCACCAATCAAGTTGGAACTTGCTAACCATGCAACTCAAGTCGTGAAACAAGTGGCACTTTTTTTGTTTCCTCTCAGCACATGGGGTAATTGGTACCAATAAACAGGCTATAACTAATAATAGAAAGGCACAGGTCAGATCAATCTGCAGGCAGAAACTGGGGGAGCAAAACCATGAACCCAAATTATTTTCCTGCAAGAGCACAATCATATAGCCATGGCTGATTATGGCCCACAAGCATCAATAATGGGTTTTTTACCCTTCCAATGCAAAATTTAAGATATATTACCTATTTAATTTCTTTTAGTTATTTAACAATTTAACGTATGTCCCTTATAAATAAGTTAGGTTAGACTTTGACTTAAATAGTCTAGCCTGTGTAAAATACCTTAAGTCTGATCTTACCTATTAATCCTGTGTAAACTTAAATTATAAGTCTGGTCTTACTTATATTTAAAAAAATAAAAGTCTAAGCCTAGGCCTTTTAGCCTATTAAACATTCAATAATTAAAAAAATATTAGTTTATTATTAATAATTTTTAACATAATAATTTTATTTATTTTATTTAAAATAAATAATACTATATAGGTCGGCTTGTAGACTTATAGGTCCGACAAATAAAAAAAGTATGTGGCTACATTTTAAATAGATTTTTTTAAAAGCTCAAGCCTATTCTATTTAATTATAGAGAAAACTTCAAAAAAATCCTTGAAAGTTTAGTCAGAATCACTTACCCCCTCCCAAAAATTTTAATCATTTACACTCCTACTTAAATTTTTTTTATCACTTACCCTCCTAACTTGATTTTTCATCGAAAGTTAAAGTTAACGGAGTTAGTCTTTTAAAAAAATACCAAAACTACCATAAAAAAACACCCACACACAACACTGGACCTTACTGATGTCAAGAGATAGTCATTGAGCAGTGGAACCCTAACCGTTCTGACGCTCCACCGCCCCTGCTTCTGATTAGCCGGTAGATGCTTATATAATTCGGATTCTAAAAGAAACACAACACTCAAAGATTTGGACCGGTAAATCTCTATTCTATTCGGTTGTATTTGAGTGATTTGTATTCTCTATCTATAACAAAAAATAAAACAAAGTTTCATAACACAGACCCTATATGAAATCAATAGCATTCAAATGCGATCAATGTAATATATATATATTTTGCAGAATTCGCATATATATATATATGTGTATTTCACAAATTCAAGAACTTTTGCAGAACTCGCATATATATATATATATATATATATTTCACAGATTCAAGAACTCACATATATCAAATGCAGATTCAAGAAGTCACATGTATCAATTGCTATACCGCATAGTTGAAAGGAGATTTTTTTTAAGCTTGTTGTTGTTTTTCCAGATTTTTTGGAAACCCATTTTTTTTGCTATCCAGACATGTTATCTTATGGATAATAGTTAATGAAATTGGTCCTTTAATTGATTATTTTGTTGTCCATTTTTTTTACTTGCTGAAAATATTTACACCTTTGGTCCTTTAATTAATATATGGAAGCATTGAAAATTGGTTCATCTTTGACAAACGAG